CACCTTGAAATGACAGGTGACGGTAGTCCTTACTTAGACTAGGTGACAGATCTGTGCACTCTCCAGATGTCAACAGGCCATTCTGTTTATCAAAGAGAGGGTAAGGTTTTGCATCTTCTCAGACTATGAATCCGCTGTGTAGTCAAATCCTCCAGTTGTGGTTGAGACCGAATAGTACTGAACTTAACCGTGGTCTTGATGACTCTGAAGTCTTTAGAGAATAATGTGACAAATTTGTGCCTCAACAACACAAGTAATACGGACATTTCCGAATCTGTATTGAATATCTCCTTCTAACTGTGCTCATCACCTAGATCTTTATACCCTACAAAGGCTGGTTCGGAAACCACTGAGCAGACCACGTTCATTGACTTGACCCCAGCCACCATGTCGCAGTCCTTTCCAGGGCTGTCACTGATATGTGTAGACAAGGAAGTATCAGCATCATCCCAGACTGAGTCTGCACCAACAATAGTGTCGCCTGGAATCATACCCCAAACCATACTGACGTTTCACCAGGCAGCTGTAAGTCAGATGCTGAATTATTACCTTCGAGGTCTTTCCTGGAGCCTGATCCCGAGACACAGCTCATTTCTGATGCCAGCATAAATGATGCTCCACAGAGGAAAAGAAAGAGTTTTCAGGAGTGGCAACAAAAAAGCGAAAAGCCATCAGTGGATCAGGACAGGATCGGAATACATAAACGTTCTATGAAAAAGCCCAACTAAGTTATTGAAACCAAACTGTGATTGTAAGAGCTGGACTCTGAAATGTAAAGGGCTCTCTGAAGTTGATAGACATTCTAATTTCGATTTAGTGTGGACCCTCTCATGGGATGACTAGTGGACCTCAGAGGAGGTATTCAGAGACTAACCAGAGAGGGAATACCTTCATTAACACCATTAAAAGGTGGCCATAAGGTGCCAGTGTGTTAAAAGATGTTCCTGAATTGAACTGGGTTGGATGAATGATTTGTAAGAAACATTTAGAAGCAATAATTATCAAAGCAACTCAGATATCTACAAAATATATGCACAATTTTGCCAAGACCACGGGAGGCGGCCTCTCAACAGACCCGGCCTCGATGAAGCATTCAAGCAGAATAACGTGTCGCTGTTCCTGTCAACGAGAGACATGTGCGAGCTTTGATTCAGTCGTGAAGTTGACAATGTGCTGGAGGATCTTTGGAATGCTAACATTTTAGAAAAGGAAGCAGCGCGCAAAGAAAAGGAACGAGATAAATCTGAAGCCATCAAATCTCTCGCCAGTAATGAACCTAAAACGGCCGTACTTTCAATGGATCTTCAGCATCAGTCTTACATTACAAAACAAAACTCGCCATTCATAACTTTACGCTATTGGATGCTGCAACACGTCAGACTACTTTTTTATGTGTGTCAAGAAACAGAAGGGGGACTTATGGCAAATGAGTTAGCTTCATGTCTATTGGATGTCCTCAAGGGAAAGCTGGACTTCCAGAAAACCATTATCGACAGCGACAACTGTGGTTACCAATATAGAAATGCCACACTAGCCAATGTTTCTCTCAGCCTTTTTTCAACAATACATGGAAGCACAATTGAACAGAAACATTTATCAAATGACACACACACAAATGGAAATTAACAGTGTGAACTCAACTATTAAGAGATCTCTTCGAAAAACACGCATCGAGGTCCTCCAAGACAACCTCCATTTCTTCAGGATGGCAAGAGCAAAACAAGAAACTTATCAAAACAAATATTTGGATCACACATTCTTCAAGGAATATTCTAAGATTCTAAGTGTGGAAGCTACGACAAGACTAGGTAGAAAAATGGGTGATCCTGTTGTCAGGTGTTTGAAGTACATCCCAGACATGAACATCCAGTTCAAGATGCACCTGAAGGATGAATGGGCTGCCGTTCTGAAGGCTGGACACAGAAACATAAGGTCCATCCTACCTCACCACTCTACACAAAACGTTTAAGTTCCAGCACTTCAAGTACAATCACCTACAGGTGCTTAAATCTGTTATTGCCAATATGCATCGCCACTTCATGACAATTTATACCATTAACATAAATGGTTGTTCAATAATATGAAAACCATCTGTAGTGCAAACAGAAACCATATTGCAGAGATTTATTATTAATGTGTGCTTTTTAGTAAAACTGGAAGTAACCAGATCTAATCTTGGCAAATTATAGTGAAACAAATTACATTAATTGCAATCCGTTTGAGGATTGAAACATTTAATTCTGCAGGTAACACACATTTATTTGACTTCAGTTGGCCGGGAATCGAACTCCAAACCAATTGGTTTTGAATAAACATCTTTATCACTTTGTGGTGTTTCAAACTACAGACGCATACTGCAACCAAAATGAGCAGCGAGAAAACTCGCAACCCTCAAACTCTGTCCTGATGAAACCTCGCAACCCACCCGCCGGCTGACTACGTGGTTTCATCACGACAAAAATGGTGTAATGAAACCTCGCATCCCACAGCGTAACCAAATAAACAATAGAAAAGTTATTTTTATGTACTAACCACGTTTCTAACGTGTTTTTATCTATCTGTACCAACTTTGGTTCATATAGGTCATTTTATTCAAGAGTAAATCAGTTTTTTGTCTCTCCTGTAAAATTTTCCTTTCTGGGGTTACGAGGTTTCATCACTCCACCAGCGATAAGCATCTATCGTCCTTATCTCTCCACCTCCTTTTTGTGTATTTTACTCTCTTGTAACACACCTATTCCTCGGCAATTATATGACCTTATTGTGTTGCAAGTGCCGTAAAACTCTTACTAAAACTTGGCTGAGTGGGATACAACACCTCAGCAGACAGACAGAGATACTCGATATAAAACCTCCTTACTCGGGGGGAATTAAACTCGTGCCTCCTGCATTCAAAGGCTAAAGGGACTAATCATTACACCACCCACATGCGTCCCTGTGAGTAAAGATCGTACATAGCAAGATAGTTCACTTATCCATTTGAGCCAATTAAAAAAGTGTCCTCAAAATTCGATGGCGCCCCCTTCGAAAAAGTGCGAACTTTTCGAACAGTGTTACGAAAAACAATAAAGGTGAAACATTACTAAGAAATTGTGATTTTCTTCTTCTTCCTCTGTAGAAACGAAAGACAGCTTCAAAACAAAGGCTGTAGCGCCATCTGAACCAATGCGCGGACTTCCCCGGACACTTTTTTGACTGAGTGAACCATCTTGTTATATATAATATAGTATACGATCTTTGCTGTGAGCATGGCTGGGCTGTGAGTTATTTGTTCAACACACGTCAAAGTCTCGGGTGGGAATCGGAAATCCGGTTCTGCCACAGCAGGACGGAGTGGGGCTGTGAAAGTCATCAAGATCTGAGATACATACACAGGCGTGCCTTCTGTAGACCCGGACTCTTTACAGAACAGTCAGGTACCTCCTGGCTAGACAGGCGTCACGCAACTAAACTGACAATACACTCACGATTGTGGGTGAGAAAGATTAGTAAAAATCGCTGGACCTTGTCATGTCAAGATAAAAATTTAGGGTAAATTATTATGAAATACTGTTGTTCAGGCTTCCCCGTGGGCAGATAGATAGATAGATAGATAGATAGATAGATAGATAGATAGATAGATAGATAGATAGATAGATAGATAGATAGATAGATAGATAGATAGATAGATAGATAGATAGATAGATAGATCGATCGATAGATCGATAGATAGGATCGATAGATAGATAGATAGATAAGATAGATAGACAGACAGACAAACAGACAGACAGACAGACAGACAGACAGACAGACAGACAGACAGACAGACAGACAGACAGACAGACAGATATAGATAGATAGATAGATAGATAAATAGATAGATAGATAGTTTTGCATTGAGCTCTTGCGGCCCAATTTTGGCATGTTTTGTACCATCTGGTGGCCAATATAATTATCATGTAGAATAATTATCATTGACATATTGCGAGTGTCTTTATGACCTTCCAGTGACCTTTTAGATATTAATCTTGCTTTCGACCTGTGTAACTCTTAATGGTTTTTGTCTTGATGTTTTAGATTGAGTCAATGACAGACGTGTGAGAAACAAGATAGTTATATGACTAGTTGCAGTGTGTGACGAGTGTGGGGTAGCTGTCGGGCCGAATTTCGACAAACTTGTAAGAAATATGCGGCACGACGAGGTGGAATCAGGCGGTCGTCCATTTTAGGGCATCTGGGGTTATTGATCATCTTAGAGCCTGCTCATTGGCCTTACTTTTGGTGAAATCAATATCACTCACACCATGTTGAATAGAAGTAAAGCTATTTGCGATTAGAGGTTGATTTCAGAGGTACAATCAGTGAAAAAATGACCGCCAGACTATGGTTATTTCCATGGCTTGAGAGTCCTTAGAAACTGAAAATTTACAGTTGTTGTACCTTTAATCAATTTTTCAGCAAAATCCACACAGAAATGTGTTTTTAAATCGATGTCGCGCCCCAAAAAAGAAAGAAAATTAGAAAAAATGTTTCTAAACGGACAGAAAAATGCCTGTTTCTTTGATTTCATTATTTTGACGAGCGCCTGATAGTGATTCACATAATAGACTAGTCAACAAAAGTTAAGGAACATTTGGAAAAAAGTGTATAACTTCGAAAGTAAACTTCAACACGAAATGAAATCTGGTACACATTTAAATAAACATGTGTATAACAAATAACAAAAAAGAACATTAAGTTATTCCATTTTAACTTGCTTGAAAAGTTCATTGAGTTTGGTAGGGGTTAAAATCCCAAATCACAAAATTGTCAAGTGGTT